TTGTGATTTTTTTTCAACATATACTAACCAGTGACGAGTATTTCATTAGGTGCGAATTCATCGAGTTACATTATTTCATTGAAAAGTGACTTTCTTCTATCCATATTCTTAACTTTTGTCTAGAAGTAAGCTGAAATGCCTTCCATCATATTCATAGCCCTATCATATTAAGCACCAATATTGCCAATCTGATGCAGCAACTCAACGATTGGTCTATCCTCGCTCTTAAAATACTTTTTGCCTAACAACGTTGTCCTAGTGTTGCTCAGGCAACAGAACCAATTTTGTTGTCATTGGCTCCTCTTTTCATATTTCATTTGACATTGATTTCAAACTTAGGAGAGAAGTAAGCATCATCATTAGTATTCAATAATTCAACCGCATCGGTTGTTGTTGTGACTCATTGACCGATTGCTCTATTAGATTTGAATATCATTTTAAAATCATCAAAAAATGGGAAAGGGTTATTCTTCAACCCTTTAGCATATGGGTGTAATTAGCATAAGTTAAAACAAATACAAATAAAATAATCCATAAAAAAAGTAAAAAAGATAGATAAGCCATAATATAATCTTAAAAAACTTATCCAAACCAACTCATCGAATATTTCTTTCTTAGCTGTGATACATTTTTCTTAATCATTCCACCCAAATCTACTAGAATTTTTTATATCACAAATTACGAAATATTATCTTTTAAGCAGCTTAACCTTAAATTCAATGTGAGGGGTGTTTTTAAGTTGTGAATGAGGGATGATTTGCTCCAGCATTCGTTCAATATAACCTAGATATCTGATGCAAAATGTCTCATTATCTGCTCTCCATCTAGGATCTTCAACCAAAGAATGTTAGCATTGAATCAGATGGGAATCCTCTTCTCAAATCCATGAATGGTTACCAAGGCCTGAACTATCCAATTTCCTTTTGAGGATGCCTCGAATGGATTGTAATAGATTGGTACATGATGAAGACATGTTTAATTCTTAATCACATGATTAGACATTATGAAATAATATCAATATAGTAAATAAAAAACAATCAATGGAATAAAATAAATGAATGCACATGATAATAAAGCAAAAAAGTGTATACTCCAAATTGTAATATTTATTGGACAACTAATAACGCCTCAAATATATTGAAAACATATATTCAACATTGATATAAAATAAATTCTTCACTCAACCATATGGCTCATATGATAAAAACCATTAGGTAAAAAATAATAAAATAAAAAACATATCTATAATATTGTTATCCCCAAGATTACAACTAATGGGTGAGCATCTCATTAGCTAGATTATCTTTAAATTGAGTCCAAAAATCAGATGGCTCAACATATGTAATGAAATCTTGATGTTCAGATTCAACTGGTTGAAAAATATTTCCTTCAACAAGATTTCCTTCAATAGGATAAAAAATGATTTCAGATATAATGAAATTATAGAAAAGGCAACAAGCAGAAATGATTTTACACTGTATCTTAATTGAACAAAATAACTTTTCCCTTAAAATTATTCATCTAGCTTTCAATATACCAAAACATCTCTCAATATAATTTCTTGCTTGAGAGTGTTTCATATTAAAGTATTCTTGTGGGGTCGTCGGTTAGAGTCTTACCTTCCAATCATTAAGATGGTATTGTTACCTCTATAAAGTGCTAAGAATCATTTTTCATTTGTCTATCCAGCATCACACAAATAGTAATTACCTATTGAACGCTTGACAACATTAATAATATGGAAATAAGGTGTCTCAACATTAACATTACATGAACATAATAAAAATAATACCTTGTGGGATCTTCAACCTATTCCTATGTCTAATGGCATCCCTTAGCACTCTACCATCTATTGCAGAGCCTTCCCATCATGGTATAACATATATAAATTGCATATTTGAGGTGTAAACACCAAGGATATTAGTAGTAATTTTATTTTTTCTAGTCCTATATCTAGGCTTGTCAACTGTGTTTATGTTAACTTTAATGTATGTCCCAATTAAGGCATTTAAACAACCCTTGAACCATTTTCACCTATTATTTGTTGAATTTTTTGGTATGGGTTTGGATTTTTTAAACATCTTATGCAATCTTAAAATAGAATTCAACATAGAATGGAAATGTTTACTAATCGTCCTTTTAGATTTGGCCACTTGATGTTTCATAACTTTATTTTTTGTATGATGGACAATGATGCGAATCAAGCTAATTACTAGTTCTTCTATTGATATATGTCTAGATGACTATAACCCCCATTCTATTTTAAGCAAACGACATAATTTTGCAAAAGCTCTTCTATTCATTTTAGTATTATTTAGACACTGTATATCACTGTAAAAGATCATTATGTTTAAGTTTAACTCCCTAATACATAACCTATTATAAGATGTTCCACCATAAGATAGTCTACACCATTTTCTTACGTTAATATTTAATAAAGTTACAGCAACAAAATATAACACATGCAACAAAGTCTTTATCTGCTTCAAATGCATCTTTCTTCTTAATGATAAACCACCCATAACTATTTAAAAGACATAATAACGTTAAAGTTGAAAACATAATGAAAAACAAATCTTGGCATATGATAAATGGAACCTCTTTAAAAACATCATCAAATAAAATATAAATCACAAACAAAACATTATAAGATTGGAGAGAGCTAAAACAAATTAACCACAAAACAAGACATTTATATTAGAAACTTAAATCTAGATCTAAACGACATCTAAAAAGGTGAAAAATAAGTTCATTGGAAGGCAACATTAATTATACACTATCAATTAAAACATATACACACTGTTTCATGTAAAAAAACGAAGATAAACTTAACATGATGAAAATTAAATGACGAATAAAGAAGCTGATATTTTTCAAAGAGAAAAGTAAAAACTATGAGCTGAGATCTATTGAAATATAAATCAAAAGCATATTGACTATTGAAACATGATTAAAACATCGAACAAGGCGTTTCATATATACAAATGCCATATTTTATATACTTTTGCTTCACAATTAGACATTAAAACGTTCATATTGTCAAAACATGATCATCAAGAGAGAAAAAAATTTAATATGAAGTAATTAAGATAGTTGTAGGAAGAAACACCTCAAATGATAATTATTTAAGGTGTTTTTTCATACAAACGCCTTAATCATTTGTTTACAAGCATGTCTGAAAAAGATCATGTAATAACGCTTTGATCAATGAAAATAAAAATATTTATTTTAAATTATCAATTAAGGCATTTCAATTGAAAAAATGCCTTAAATAATTGAGGCAAGGATTATTTGGGACGTTTAAAGAAGAAAATGTCATACTCGATGATCATTTAAGGTGTTTCTAAGGGAAAATGGCTTAAATGATCATTATTTATGGCTTTTTTTCAACAAAAAAACCTTAGATGATGGATTGCAATAAAAAAATGACATATTTAATGATCATTTAAGGCGTTTCTTAATGCCAGAAGCCATTGATTGCAATAAAAAAAGGTTTTACCAAAAAAATATACAACTAAGTTGTAGTCACTTTGAGACAATCTTTTCAAAAAAGTAGCAATTGTTTCATAATTTTTTATTCAGGTCAAATTTGAAAATAATGCAACTTTTTCTCCCAAAATCCTAGAATACCACAAGAAGAGGTGAGTTTCTGATTCTGAGACTTTGGGTGATGTTGAGAATCTGTTACTTTCTCTCATAATCGGATTACCTTGAATCAAACATGAGAATCAAATACCCACCATCAAAATTCTAGGAAAAAATTTGTGGATTCCCTTAAACCAAATGCTCTATAAAAGGTTTTTTGAAATGGATGTCTGAAAACTTTTAAGGGACTTCAAAAATGAATTTTTGGTATATTGAACAAGTTTTTGGATATCTATTTTTGAAAATCTTTAACAATTTTCAGAACTTCATTTTTGGAATGCTAGAATGCACCCTAAAACTTAAAATCATAAATATTTTGAAACTAAACACAAAATCAAATGAAAAAGATAAAAAAAAAACAAATAATTTATCTTTGATTCTAAGCTACCTAATGTCAAATAAATGATTAAAGCTTAATTTAGGGCTTAATCCTTCAAGGGTGGGTTTGGGGTTTTCAGTTGAAGAAGATGGGGTGTGATGAGATGGGTGTTTGGGTTTTTTAGAAAATTTATGTTTTAGATTTGGGTTGTGTTGAGTGAAAAATTGGGTATTAATAGTAATAAGGTATGAAGAGAAGAGCTTAGGGTGTAAATAGCACCACTCTTTGTAAAATTGAGATTTTTTTTCTTAAAAAAATTACCTGACAATTATATGATAACAGGATAAAAATGATATAAAAATATCAAAAAAATATGATTTATAAATTTAGTAAAAAATAAAAAATTTCATATTTGATATATCAATACGAATTATAATACAATCATTTTCATATTTTATAATTATGTTTAGGAATTACAATGGAGCAAATATCTACTATTTTAGAGATATTTATATCCAAATTTATTTAATATTTATAATACATGAATCTATTTACATATTCGTTCAAGTTTAACATCACTAACAAATTCAAATCCCTTTAAATAAACACTATCCTTTTAAATATCTAAATTCATTAAAATATTCATTTATTTAAATTTTTTGTCAAAACATAAAATAAACAAAAATTTAATTTAAAATTCAAATTCATTTTTAATTAATAATAAATAAAAATTATTTTTTAAAATTCAAAATCTTCTACAAATATAAAATTTTATATATTTTACATATGTAAAAAGATAACGAATTTGAATACGAATTCAAATATCCATTACTATTCTTTAAAATTTAAACGAATTTGAATATTAAATATTCAAAAGATACTATTCATATCCTATCCACTTTGCATCTGTCACGGATGGTAAATATCTTATTCGAATCCATTAATTATCTGTTTATAACTATCCAAATCCGATATAAATAGATAGGATAATAATAGATATCCATTTATTTACTATCTATTGCTATCTCTAATTATCTTAAATAAAAGACAAATATAATACAAATACACAAAATATCTTCAATATTATAGCTTGCTTAATTTATTTCTTGACAAGGGAATTTCATATTCCAAAATTTAAAAATAAAAATAAAAAGAAATTTCTAATCGTAAAAGAGACCATCCTCTCAAGTCTGAACCAGGCAAGGCAAGCATGGTCCATGGAGCTGTTTGGTGAAGCCAATCAACTACGAATAAAGTGATAAACATCTCAAATGGCATTAATTTAACAAAGGCTACAGCTCTAAAAGTGAAAAAGAAAAGTGTTGAACTTAAACCTGCCAAATTGACACCAACAACCGTTAAAATTGCTCCAACAGCTCCTGCTGAACAGCCAATAAACATCCTTTTCAAGTACAAATTCAATTCTTTAATCTTCAACAATATGCTAAATGGTGACCCAAGAACCTTCTTCAAACTGTTTTCATGCGGTGATCTAATCACCCTACAGTCAATCCAAATCCAAATTTGTAGTCTTTCTTCTTATGATCTATCTGCAAAACATAAATCCAGAGAAAAATATTAAGAGACGTGACTCCGAGGGATTATCAATCAAGAGAGAAATAAAATGTTAAACATAAAGGACTAATGGTATCACATTCACAAGCAATAACAAAACAAAGAAACTTCTTTTCAAGTGTATAACTGCAAATCTCCTTCTGAGAAAAGTCATCTTACCTCTGCTGAGAGAATAAAATTTAGGCCCATATTTAACCGCTCTTCCAGATAAGCAGCTGTGCATCCATTTGAATCAATCTTCCCCCTCAAGCGACACTGAAAACATAAAAAATTGATTGACCAAAATGATGGTCCAGTTAGATCCATTCTATTACATTACAACAATTTTGTTGGAACAACCCTATAGCCAAATCTAAACTGATGTGGTGTCAATAAACTTCATAACAAAAGACTTCCTGAAAATTAGCCTTGCTTCTTTGGACGACTTATGAATTACACCATTGTGGTTGGCCATGTTTTCCCCTGTTGCCTAGATATAATAACTGCATGTAAGAGGTTTATCCTGTTTAAAATCCCTCCCCCTTCTTTAAGTATCAAGGAAAAAGAGACAGCTTTATAAGTTCTTTTCGGTTGATATACAGAAGGTAATTTTGTGACACACAAAACAATCTATACTACTATATATAAAAGTTAATCCCAAAAGAGTCTAAAGCTACCATGTGTCCGGTTTTTTGAGTTTGGTTTTTCACGGTTTTTTTGTTTCTTTTCTTCGGTTTTTTGGGTTTGATTCTAAAGAAGCTTCTTTTGCTACCTTTGCCCAGCTGCCATTTCTCATTTTTTGTTCTGTCTGCCTTTTTTCTTGTGTTTCTTTGTGTTTGGCTATGAAGACGTGGGTTTTGTTTTGTTAAAATTTTTTTTTACTTTGTGGGAGTCAGTGTTTTTTCTTTTTTCATAAATTTTAGTTTTTTTGGTTTCTCATCGTTTACTTTTTCTGAAAATTATCACTTTTATTATTAACTTTCGCCCACCCCATTTTTCTGATCAACGATCATCGGATTCCCCAATACCTCGCTGCCAATTTTAATCTTGCTGTATTGCCAATTGAAAACCCCAATTTGTTTCCCTTCACTATGTTCAGTGTAGTCCCCCCTCTCCCCCACACACCCCCCCCCCCCCCAAAAAAAAATGATTTGTTGTTTCCTTTTATAACTGCACTGAAATTGAAAAATTAGCTCAAAACCTTGATTTGCTCAAGCTATAAAGGACACGTGGCAATATGGGTCTTGCTTCACTTCAATTGCTGCTCAAATCTTTGTGAGTTCAGTTTCTTTTTTGTTTTACTTTTTAACTATAATTTTTTGTAGAAATGTTTGCTTATACACTTTAATTTTACAAAAAATTTAAACTCTTTGGTTAAAATTTGGGGTTGAGTTAATTGATTTAAGAATTTTTTGAGCTATTGAACTTGGATCCATCTACATTTTTGTCATTTAGATTTGAAATTAGTGTGATTTGGGTTTTTGAAAATTTGAAAATTTAACTATTTTTTTATGGGTTTTTAGTTTGTTCAAATGGGTTTTTTTTTTTTTTTTTTTTTAACCAAGGAAATGATGGGAAAAGGAAGGGAAATTAACTACAAAGTTAACATTTTTTTTTTTTGCTCCAAGACTAGGAATAACTGAACTCTGCTTAATGCTCGGATGTGGTTAACTTTGATGTTGATTGATTGGTTGACTTAGATTAAAATTTTTATCTTTTTTGCCTTTTTTTGATTTCATAGGCATTGGATAGAACTTAAAAAGTTAAGACATTGAATTAAAAGATAAGCAATTAGGGATTGATTAAGTGTGTTTGAAAGTTGCATGACTTGGTGGTGTAGAGTTTTCTTAATGCAATTAGTATTATCTTCAGCTTTAATAGCAGACTATATATTACTCAGATATTTATTTAACAGAAGGAGCTTTTGGATCCTGCAATTAAAGGAGCGCTCAATGTACTGGCAGCTACCAAAGAGCTCAGGGTTAAGCATGTGGTGGTCACGTCTTCCATCTCCGCCATTACCCCCAGCCCCAACTGGCCAGGTGATAAGGTCAAAGCAGAGGATTGCTGGGCTGATAGTAGCCCCATATATATATTTGTAGGTTTATGGGATGTAGGTTTATTTGATATTGCTATATATCAACCCCATAAACCCTGTATTTTACCCAGGGTTCTGCTCCTCTTTCAATTTTCAAATCAAATCTTCCAATCCTTCTTTTTTTCTTTGATTTGAGGCTGTGAAAAACGACGCCTGTGTCGAGATACCCAAGGTCAGCTCTCCTCTCTCTCTTTCTTTTGTTTGTTAACTTCTCATCCTTTTAAGTTTATTACAGTTATTGGGTTGTCGCTTCAAAATTATGCTTTTCTTATTTGAGTTTAAACAATGTTGGAAGCTTTTGGTCCTATGATTAGTAATTTTGGAGCTTAATTGGGATGAAAAAGCATCAATCTTGGAGCTTAATTTGGCTTGAAATTTGATGGCTACTTACTTGCTTTGGTATAAACTTGATTTATATGCAGTACAGTAGGATGTAGGGGGATTTGATTCAGGCTGAAATAGTGCTGGAAGTGAGGTGTTTATCATTCATTCATGACACATTCATCATTTTTTTTTTATTTAGTATCTTGATTTGTTTATAATTTCTAGCTGAGATTTCAATGGTTCAGATCTGTTGGTTTTTTAAATAAATTTTAATAGTTGAATTATTGAAATCTATATATTTCGTTTGATTTTGATTGAAAAATAAAAAGAATTAAGATTCGAATAAGATTTTACTACTCTAATATTTATTTTTAGCTTTATACCAACTTTTGATGAAGAAAAAGCAAATTGAAAAAAGTAATAAAAATAAACAACCCAGAGCCTTTAGTATTAAGAAATTAGTATTTTTTTTTATGAATCTTCACATCATAACCAAGCTGTTGATGTTTATTGGCATGTGATCAATTAGTGCTTGATGGGTTAACAGTTGATTTGGACCCTATGGTTTCTATTCAGATTTGTTGTAAACTGATTTGCAATTTTAGCTAAACTTGATTGATGATTGTATGGTGTGTGCCAGGTTGTAGAAGTTTCCACCTCCAAGACTGGGAAGCATGGTCATGCTAAGTGTCACTTTATTAGAATTAACATATTCGCTGCCAAGAAGCTGGAAGATTTTGTCCCTTTTTCCCACAACTGTGATGTATGAAATACTAACTCATTTCATAAATCATTATTCTTTATCATTTTCGGTCTAACTTTTAATCTGTCATATAATTGCATTGGTGTTAATGTATGTTTCTGTTTTAACAGGTTCCACATGTCAACCACTACCAGTTAATTGACATTTCTGAGGATGGATTTGTAAGTTCATTAGCTTCATGTTTTATGTATCTGTGTGTTTGTTTCTAATTTTATTTATTGATTTTGACACTTGGGTTTAACTTAATTTTTTTTATCTTTTTATCTAATTATTTGATTAGTACAAAATTCTGTTCCATTGCATATAAACTTTTAATTTTTTATGCCTTCTGTTTTCTGCTTCAATTCAGTATCAGTATCAGTATCAGTCTATGACCAAACTGGTTGTGTTGATGATGTTATGAGTAAATGTAGTTTAAGGCTACTGCAAGTCCCTAGGACATAGCAATATTCTGTTTCTTCTCAGCTTTGGTTGTGAAAAATGCATTCTTAAACTTCCTATTCTTATACAACCAAGTCAATGAATTGGTCTGTTTGTCAAATTTATTTCCTTGCTAATTGAGCATTATCTAATTTGTTTCCATTTATTTTGTTGATGAGGACCTTTCTGGGGATATTTTTGAGAATTTGAAAACGATTTTCAGGAATATGTACAAATAGGTTGTGACATTTGTTGACTCCCCTTCCCTTTATGTCATTAGAAATTTTGCTTTCTATTCCATTTCTTTGACAATGGTTTAATCAATTTCAGGTCACTGAGGTTGATATTAAAGAATTTGAAGCAAACTATAGGGGATTTGATTCAGAGAAGAAAGTCTAATTGATCTTTATAAAAAGTGCAAGGGCAATATGAATAAATAAGAGAGGCTGTGTTTTTCTTTCCTTTAAGCTTTCCAGATTAATTCTGATTTTTTGCTCCATCGACAGGCTTTTCTGTTCAAGGCTTTGTTAAGATCCTAAGCTTGATTCACACCGTTTAAAGGATATGCTTGATGTGGCAATAGCTACTGATGAGACTTTCTTGCAACTTTTATTTACACGCTTAGAATTATTCTGTTCTAGAAGTATAATGGATGGCATTAGACATTCCTTTTGTGTCATTAGACCTTCTCTAACATTCCTGTGAATGCAATTTTGACATAGAAGTATGATGGATGGCAAAAGCGAATTTGCTAAATTCTAGATGCTCTATGGTGAAATCTTTATGTCATGAGACCTTTCCTTTATGTCATCATGTTCCTTCCTACAGTCTACTTAGGCACTCACTTTTTTGTGCTTAACTGAATTATCTTCACTGGGTTTTTTGAGCTTCCATTGATCATCAATAAGTTTGTAATTCAATAAAATACTAAAAATTGCAACAACCCATGCAAAGCCGGGCTTTACACACTAGTATAAATGCTAAATTCTAACATGTATAGACATGCAGAAACATCAATGTGCACTAACATTGGAAATCTAGCAACCAAAAATTTACCTGTCTAAGGATGTAATCATAGCCGACACTTGCTGTTACATCTCCTATCATGTAGTTATACATGAAATCTGATGCGAGAGAAACCTTGATAGAAATAATAGTGTAAGAATACTGAGAAACAAATTGCAATATTATTAGGAGGAAAAAGTCGTACCTTCTCAGATACCTTCTGAACATAGCTCAAAGCAACCATTCCAGTACTTGCAACTTGCCCTGCTGCAACCTGGACAGAGTGCTTAGGTTGGTAATATGTGCATAAAGCAAACAAATAATTTTTCTAGCAATAACATTTCAATTCCATGCCTACAACAAATTCCTCTTGACAGGAGTAAGGTGAAAAAATGGTGGGGGAGAAGTTAATTAACTATTTTATTGATTAAAACTCAGCTTTGGAAGCAGCATTGCCATCAAATATCCAGGGACCAAACGAACAGTATTTCTGAAGATCTAGAAACTTCTTGAAGAGGAATTTAAACCCTTAACTAAGATCTTTTTTCATGGGTCTATAACACATGCGCCCACTTGGGATCATCAAAATTTGACCTAGAAGTGGAATATGCCAAACATTAATTGTTGTATTAACTAGTTTTGAATGCACATTCGGTTTTACCTTCAGAAAGACAGCATTAAATCATGTCCTTGATTCCAATGACTAGGTCCGCCACTTATGTTGGAAATATCATAACTCATAAGTCATTAAAAAGAAAGGAGATCCTGAATCTCACAACTTGGCAAACCTAATCAGCATTTTTGTTAGGGCTCTAAATGACACCCCTACTGTTGTAAAAGATCTAGAAACATATTTAGAAGTAACAAACAACACCCACTAACCATTGCACAAATAAATATTGACAACCCAGTAATGAAGAAACCAGGCTAAATTACCATCTTATCTGTTTCATATCGGGCAGCATAACCAATGCCTGACTTTAGGTGCTGACCAGTCCAAAATATTTCACCAGCTAAAGATAAATGTGGTGTCACACTCTGCACAAATATGGCTTAGATTAGGTACAATAATAACAACAAACAGAATTATAATTGCAGAATTAGTGGATTCAGCAAAAGATTGTGATGAATGCTATGCAATGCCTCTCTAAAACAGCAAATGAAATGCCAAATGCAGAAGGCCTTTGGCACAGAAAGTCTAGGTTGCTTCTATCATTATCAGTGTATATATCTTTTAGTATTTTTATTGAAAAAAAAGGAAGATAAAACATAGCAAAGCACAGAGAAATTTGCAAGTCCACGTTATATTGAATCTACGTATAGTACAAGTATTTTCTAGGTATAGTTCACCCAATAACTCATCCATTATGCTAAGCTCTTCATCTCTCAGCTCAATTCAACAAATATAATGTGGCTTCATACAATTTACCTGGATATAACTAGCTCCAAATAAACTACCATTACCAATTTGAAGCTGAGACCTGTAGTCTTTACCCTGTACAAGGAAAACAAAAATGTCAAAAGACAAAAGGCAATCTCGTATTCGATGATCAATTAACTCAAAATAAAATATCAGAATATCGGGTGTCACACTCATAATGATGACACAAACCAAAGCCAACTTGCCAAGATATAATATGGTTTCAGAGTGACTGACCTTGTAATCAAAGTTGACCATGCCATGTGACATATGAGGCTCATTTGTGAGCTGGAACAGGAAACAACAAAGTTATCAACTAGCTTACACATGAAAAAACATATACTCTACAGACAAACAGGAAAGGCAAAATATTAAAGAATAAATGAAAAAAATGATATACCTGAGCATTAGCCTTCACACTAAGATTGTCTGTCAAATCCCATTTCACTCTTGCATTGAGTCTACCATCAGTCAGCATCCTCCCAATAAGCATCAACTGGGGAAAACCAAAATTAATCCCACCTTTAAATTGATTTATTAAGATAAAATAATTTAGGAGGACAAGAGGGTGAATTGGAGGAGTAGAGATAATGAGAGAAACAACCTACATTCGGGTCAATGAAGTTGGCACCAAATTCATAGTGTGCAGTAGGAATTTTAATGGTTTCAGCAGATTGAGAAGGAAGTTCTGTTGGGCCCATAAACACACTGGGAGATGATTGTGAATGAATAGATACCATTATTTCTTAATATAGAAAAGAAAAGACATAAGAAAAATAGTAATAATAATAATAATAAAAGCAAAAATCTCAAAGAGTCAAAGAAGCTGAAGCTACCTGTGACTGAGTGAGAATTTCTGATTTAGTCCTTTGGTAAAATCAAATCGCAATCCTTCAAAAGTTTCTGGCTTCAGAGACACTGCCAGACATGTTCAAGCAATAAACATTAATTTTTCATAAAAAAGAACAGACTCTAACTGCTATTTTAGGTTATTCTTCTTTCTCCATAATAACCCTGCGAACGATGCATCATAATACCTTACAATTCAAAGCTTGTAGAGATAGATACACAATTAGAAGACAAAATTAGGAAACAAAAGAAACAAATTAAGTGCATAGTCTTCAACATCTAACAGGGCACACTGAATATGCATCAGGTGCTGAAGAAAATAGATGCCAACCAAAGAAAGAATTTAAACATGAAATTAACCATACACTTCAAAGCACTTGAGACCAAAAGAAAAGTTAATTATATCTCAAGAACTTACTTACAAACAAATCTTAGAAGTGTATAACCCTGGCATGCTTTTAGTTCCCTAGTAAACCTCTTTCTTTCCCTTATTACCAAACATAAATATTCACCGGTCATGCTCTTGTTACACACCAGCTTTACACAGCAAAATAATTCCACGTTGGAAGTTGGGTGTGTTATCAGAATATACTAGTCCATTCATTAAACCCAAAGAAACTGCTGCCCCCAATTCTAAGAAGCAACTGCTTTTATAAAACTTGTACTTATAAAAAATCAAAACACTTCCCTCTTCTTAAAAAAAAAAAAAAGAGATATTAAAGTTACTAGTTTTGTGACTAATGCAAAATTATCAATAAAAACCTATCATTTTCACTAATCAGAGCAGAATAGGGTTCTAAGAAAGGGGATTGAAAGCACACCACAAGCTAAATCTGCAGCCCCTACATTCCACTAACTTCGCCATCTCTAGTCAAAATGCCAAACCATAAAATTCCACATAAGCCAATAGAGATTAAGAGACAACCAACCAAGGTTTTTTTTTTAAAAAAAATCGCATCCATAATCTCAAGACAAAGTTACAAATCAAGAAATAAAAAGAATAAAAAGAAAACCAATATATTAAAAAGTGAGAAGGGAAGACTAACTGAGAGCTTCACGGTGGAGCTCTTCAAAAGGAATAGGGCATGGGAGATTCATGTAATCGGTTTTCTCCTCAGCTTTGGTATGCGCCGCTTTGGATGCGTCGGCTGGAATCGTCGTAGTACCAGGAGGTACGAGCCCCGCCATTTATCTCTTCTTTTCTGTAGAGGAATTAAAAGCAAAATCAAACAGCCGCGACTGTGAGTGTGATGAGGAGGAATAAGAGATTGGGGGCAGAAGGAGGAGTTGCAGCACTCAGGATGCGCTTATTATGGGTTTTAGCCAGGGTTTTACTAGGGGAGGGGTCCACATCTTTTTTCCCCCTTTCCTTTTTTATGAAGTATAAAATGTTTTTACTTTTTCTAACCTTTTCCTTCGCTTTTTGTTTGTTTTATGAATGGTAAAATAGAGTTGTATGAAGTCAATCGTATGCTTTTTTTATTTTGGTCATTCAATTATAAAAAATTTATATATATATATATATATATATTGAAAAGAAATTGTTTCATTCATTCATTAATAATAATGGCTTCCTCTTCTACGATTGATTGTACCAAAACAGAACATTCTGCTATCCAAAACTTATCTTGATTAACCCCCAGACCATATTTTGCTAGGTTGTAGGCTGCTGTATTTCCTTCTCGTTTGATATGCTGCACCCTAAACTCATGAAACTCAGCAGCTCTAATCCTCGCTTTCTCTATCAAATTTCCTATATGAGACAGGTCCTGATTCCAGTTTTTCCTCCTTGTAATTATTGTCTGTGAGTCACCTTCTAAAATGATATCCTGATCCTTATATCTTCGCAAATTCCAGCACCTTTACAGCCGTATAAGCTTCAGCAGTGAAAGGACTTATCACCCCAGGTAACTTATCACAATAAGCTCCCAATATTTTGCCTTCATAATCTCGGATCAGTATCCCTGTACCTTCCTATTTCTTCTCTTTGTCAACTGCTTCATCAAAATTGATTTTTGATAAGTATGTTCGGTGGTTTCCATTTGCTCTCTCGTTCTGCATTGGCATTAACATGCTACTATCGAGCCCTGTGAAGTTCTTCCATATAGCTTCTCACGAATGCAGCAGATACCAGTCAGTCTCTTATTTGTTCTCCATGATATTCTTTGCTCTTATCATTCCAGATTGTCCACATACCAACCAGGAGCATTTGCATCTGTCCTGCTGTGATATTCTCCATAGCCCTTGAGCACCAAAGTAGAGGCTCATCCTACGGGTCATTTTCACTCTCCCACTAGACATTGCGATTTTCCCATACCTTTTTTGCACAACAACATCCCTTGACTGCATGCATTACGGTTTCCTCTTCATTTACGCATCTCATTTACGTGCTTGCCACTGGAATATGCCTCTTCGCCAAATTCACCCCAACTGGTAAAAAGCCTTACTCACCTTCCACATTAGTATTTTAATTTTTGATGGTGCATCAGCTGCCTAGATCTTCGTCCATACATTCTGTCCCCTCTCTCTTTCTTCAGTTGTTTCCTCACCCGAAACAATCTCCATAGATTGTTTGTTTAGCATTTTATATCCACTCTTCACTGTGAAAAGACATTTGTTGTCAAAGTTCCGGACCAGGCAGTCTAGCATATCCATCTTGCTCAAAGGTATTTCACATATAGCATCTGCTTCATCTTGAGTAAACATCTCATGAATTAAATACCATTTCCATGTTCGACTCTACTCATTTATCAAGTCAGCAACTAAGCCATTTACGTCGTAATTGTTCCTTAGTGACTTCAGCTTGAAATCTGCATTACATGGAACCCATTTATCCCTTCACATGCAAATGGACCTTCCATTTCTAACACACGATCTCAACTCGTTTAGCAAGACTGCTTTTGTTGTCCAAATGCTCCTCCACGTTAGTGATGGGTTGGCTCCTAAATCAGCATGTAGAAAAGATCCATGTCGGAAGTACTTAGCTTGAAGGACCCTATGTGCCAGCATGTTGGGATCGGTAAGAATTCTCAATCCTTGTTTGGCCAACAAGGCCTTGTTAAATCTTCCCATTTCTCTAAATCTCATTCTTCCCTGTTTTTTATCCCAACACAGTGAATTCCTTTTTTTTCCTTGTCATGTCTCCACCAGTAATTGCTTATTAAGCTAAGAGGTAGGAGAAAGCAGCTAGTTGCAAAAGTTGGAATGGATTGAAGATGGACTTTATACAGATTTCCTTTTCCCCCAGGACAGTATTCTTTGGCTCTTACCATTCATTCTAGCCTTCATGCGATCTTTCAAATCTCTAAACGATCTCCCTTTGTTTTCGCCTACCATTGTAGGCAATCCCAGATATCTATCTAGATTTTTGTGTTTCTAGGACATTGAAGATACTTTTTATTTCATCCCTTTGTTTGTTTGCAGTGTTGGTGCTAAAAAATATAGCTAATTTGTCCAAATTTATCTTTTGACTTGAGCTTTCTTCATATCCCTTTAGCATATGCATCATCATCTTGCTTTTGCTTCTATTCGCCATAGCAAAGAGAAGACTATCTTTAGCAAAGAACAGATAATTAACTCGAGGTCCATTTTGGCTTAGCCTACCTCCATGCAACTGTCCCTGCATTTGGTTCTTCTTTAATAATGATAAAAGCCCTTCTGTGCAAAAACCAAAACAAATATGATGAAAGAAAATCTCCTTAGCGAAGTCCTTTTTTTGGGACAAACTCATTAGAAATATCTCCATTAACAACAATCGAGTATAAGACAGATGTCACGCAGCTCATGATCCTAGTAATCCACTTAAAATGGAAGCCTAATTTACCCGTTATAGCCTCAAGAAAATTCCATTCAACTGTGTCATATGCCTCGCTTATATTTAATTTAAGTGCAAAAAACCCTTTATTGCCTTTTTTTTTTTTGTTCTCAAATGGTGTATAAGTTCATAGGCTACAAGAATATTGTCAGATATAGATCTCCATAGGACAAACGCACTTTGCATCTCACTAATACAAAAAGGAAGTATTCTCTTTAGCCTACTAACTAAAACCTTTGAAATAATTTTGTATATGACATTCCATAGACTTATGGCCTAAATTGTGTAATGTTCTTTGGGCCTTTGGTTTTTGGTATGAGCACAATATGAGTCTAGTTTATCTCTCTAATTTTTTTTTCACCCTTTAGATGGGCTAAGCAAAAATTGGTTACATCAATCCCAACAATATTCCTAAATTTTTGAAAAAAAAATGCATGCATACCGTCAGGTCCCGGTGACTTCGTTGGGTTCATTTGTTTGATGGCTTGGTGAATCTCCTCATCTTTGAACTCTACAAGGAGCGTCCTATTCATCTCATCATTGACACAAAGATCAATAGCCTTTAGAACATCTTTAAATCTTGATGAATTCTCGGAATGAAATAAATTTTGAAGTATCCAGTGGCAATTTGTTTTATTTGGTCCTCGTCTTCAGTCCAAATCTCATTTTCATCCTCCAAACCACTTATCCCATTATTCTTTTTCCTCGCCGAAGCCTGTGCATGAAAATATCCCATATTTCTATCTCTTCCTCGAAGCCATTGCACCCTTGAATGCTACCTCCAATAGGTTTCCTCCATTTCCATATTAGAGTTTAACTCATCCCTTATGCTTTTCACGTGGCCTAGTACCTCATTTGTGGGGGCCATTGCATAAAGCTTTGCAAGGTCATTTTTAATTTGACATATCTTTTCTCTTGCTGCACAAAACGTGGACCTGTGCCAAGTCCACAGCTTTTCCCCCACTTTTTTCATTTATTCTTATACTAGGCCCCAACCCATTTCACGCCAAGTTTCCTCCATAATTTGTTCGCATTTTGCTTCTTTCATCTACATGGTTTCAAATCTTTACCTTTTTTTAAAAGCCATTTCTTCTTTTTCTCCTTATTTCTTGCAGTGGTCACCATAATGGGACAATGATTAGATACTGGCACTATTAGTTGATGGATTTCTTATTCTGGAAATTGATCACACCATTTCTTATTTCCCAAGCCTCAGTCTAGTCATTCTTTGACATTTGTTTCATGTGTTCTCCCTCTTTCCCATGTGAACCATTGTTCAGTATATCCCAAGTCTTCAAAACCACAATCCTTTGCTACTTCTCGAAACGCATTCATCTGGCATTCCCTTCTGATATTGTTCCCTGATTTTTCATTGTTCCTCACCAGCTCATTGAAATTCCCAATGCATAGCCACGGTTTTTCCTCCTACCCAGCAACATCACACAGCAACTCCTATGATTTATTTCGATCCCTTACATCTGGTTCACCATAAAATCCGATTAGTCTCCATGTTACCATATCTGATTCTCCCTTAATATCCACATCAATATGTTTTTGTGAGAAACTTCTTAAATTGATCTCCATGTCCTCTTTTCACAACAACATTAAACCTCCACTACTTCTTTCAGAACTTACCCCGATACAGCCCTGCATTTTACACTTATTTTTTTATTCTACTTGGATTTTTTTCATATAGTTTTGTCTCTATTATAAACATTACATGGGAACTTTTACTCTATACCAACTCATTAAGAGCTCAAATTGCATGTGGGTTCCCAAGCCCATAGCAATTCTAAGTTATACACCTTATTCTTCTCAGCGAGACTGATTCCCAGTTACTGTAGTTTCACTTTTTGGTTTCCAAACCACATTCCCATCTTCCTTGCATTTCTTCGTCTGTATATCAATCTCTATATCCTTTGTTTCTCCTTCATATTCCAGTTTTTTTTCCTAATGCAGTTCGACCCGACTACCACAATACGACCTGCCTCATGTGCCTTTTTATAGGTGCTCTTTCTACATTTGTTTACCTTAGCATTATTATTCCCATTGTTCTGATTGGTCTCCGCGCCATATGCTTCCTCAGCAATATTTCCATTATTGAAATCCATTCTCTCGGCATCATTATTGGCTTTCTTGTTTTTCCCACTCTCCACGCTATCTAGTTTATATGGATATTCTGTCTCCATATTTTGTAACATTGGCATATTTTCAATTGACCCTAAATTTCCTCCCTTAAAATTCTCTGCCACGATCCCTTGATTATTTCCCATATCTTTTAATTTTTTCCCCGTTTGTAGACTCAATCCCTACGTTTTTGTTTCTGCATTGATGACTTTCCTGAACAATTTCTCCTCATTCCTCTGTCCCGCCGTCCACCAACTGTCCTTTCTAACCTGTTAACCTTTTATTCCTTTCTTCCCTGACCGTCTTTCTTTTTATCAATGTTTTTCCTTCTTTCCAGATGTATCTTCCTCTCTTCTGCTGGAAAACTTCT